GCTTATACAGGGGACCCCTGTAAACATAGCGTTGTTGTCTCCCGCCAGCCATCAGAGGGCATGCTTGTTGCCCAAGAGTTCGTGAATGAAATTTGAAACGAACTTTGTTGGAAAAAAAAAGTTGGGGTAACGGCTCGTGGGTCACACCTAGCGTTTGGAATAGGCAACTTTAGCAGTTCTCGAAACAGGGCAAAAAAAGTTCCTGCTAAATCTGCATTCCTGCCACTTCAAAAAAACGGCAACAATTTCAACCCCCCGCTAAACTTGCACATTCCGAAAATCAATTCTCGAAACAGGGCAAGAAAAGTCGCTGCTAAATCTTCATTCCCGCCACTTCAAAAAAACGGCAACAGTTTCAGCCCCCCGCTAAACTTGCAAGTTGAAGGATTTGGGCCCCGCGCTGTGTGACCAGTCTAGGCACCATTTTGGCAATCGCCAGAAAGTCCGGCTTGTGTCTTTCATGATTTGCTGTCATTGTGTGACCGGGTGGGGTGGCATTCCAGCAAAATCGGGATAGCAAATTTCGCTGCTATGCCACCGCTGTGTGAGTACACCCTTACTCGCCAAACTTGATGGGAGTGAAACCTGCCATAACTATTCCTCATGCTGGTCTGTGAGATCCGTACTTAGCGGCTTCACGTACCCTCTGGAGTAAAATCCAAATTAAGCCCTGAAGCACAGACTTTGGTTGATCAAGAAAAACAGGGTTCATTTTCACTGTTTTGGGACTACAAGCATGCATCTTTCTTGAAACAGCGGACTGCAGTGATACCTTCCAGGATTTGGTGGTCAACCAGAAAGTAGTATAATCGTCTTTTCGTCATCAGTTGTCTGTCCCTGTGCATGTAAGAGAACCACATGTACCCGGGATCCTCCTGGTTAAGTACCCGAAATGGGTCCACCAGATCCAATTCCGTTATCGGATCAATAAGAGATTGTACATCTCTTTTCCCTGCTGCCCCGGAGTTCGGTTGCAGAGCTTCATCTAGGGATCGGTTCCAGTCACCCGCTATTATCAACTTCTCGACCTTCGGATGTGGTGAATCAGATTCTTGAAGAAAGTTTCTCGTTCCCTTGAGTTTATGGGTGCATAGACAGTCGTAATCCCCCAATCTTCCTTTCCCGCTTCTAACCTCATCCATGCCCATCTCCCCCATATGTCTATCTCAAATTTTACTATTCGAACTTGTAAATCTCTATGCAGTAGAATACACACTCCTCTCTTCAATCCCTTTGCGGGGCCCCAAACTTGGGGACCCTCCCACCACATGCCCAAATCTCTTATCTTCGTCTCGTTCAACTTGATTTCTTGAAGCATCAAAGAGTTGATGCGCCATTCGTGCATCCAACTCTTTAATTGTCTCGTCTTGGATCTGTCCCCTGTGTCTCCAAGGCCCCTTATGTTCCATGATGCCATACGCATCTTATCCATTGGTAGCATTTTCCTCCGCTGTGTATTGGATGAGGGATGTGGGAAACAGACACGTCTCTAGTACTGCCTCTTGAAAAGTTCATTTGTGAGGAGGAATGTCATTCCTTCGTGAGACTTATCACCATGAAGGGGGGTTGAAGCTTTTCGTCCTTGAGTAGTTTCTAGTTTATGTTCAGCAGCACGAGTGCAGAGACTTGTGGAATGACTTCAATCTATTCCAAGTCCTGCATGTTACGCTGTTGTACCAAATACCCTTACAAGGGTATTTGACATGCTCTCTGCAAATTACGGCAGTGCAGCCGCGCCCGTCTGACGGCGCGCGAGAGAGGAAGCTTGGGTCCACGCCTGGATGAGCAGCGCACGCGAGGTATTGACGGCGAGGCGCAACCATGCGCACCCTGGGTGTGCGCGACATCAGAGACCGGTGGGACGCGCGGCGTTCATTCTTATTTTTATTGTCTATTTATTTACCTGCTTTTATTTATTTTTCTAAGGTCTTTAGATCGGTGATCAATTTTGAGGCCAACGTCGAGACCGAGGGGCCTAGCACTATCAGTTATGGCGTCAGACTTTCATCAAAGAGATTAAGGGATCGAGATCGAGTGGCGACAACGCGGGAATATCAGAGTAGTGCGAAGGGACCAAGGGGTCGAGGGCCCGGCGAGGCTATCCCCTTTGGTTTTGTCGTCGGCGGCGTCATAACGACGCTGGTAGTTTCTTTTTCCTCGGACGTCATGCCGTAATGATTTAAAGCTTC